GGGTGATAGTTAAACATCATTTTAGGAGAGAGAGAGAGAGAGAGAGAGAGAGAGAGAGAGAGAGAGAGGATACAGAGAGGGAGAACAGAGATATTAGGCAGATAGACGTAGACAGGCAGGCAAACAGACAGACAGACAGACAGGCAGGCAGGCAGGCAGGCAGGCAGGCAGGCAGGAAGGCCAGCAGAGACAGTCACAGAGAGAATTATCTGGCCTGGTTGAAGACTGTTCTCTGTCTCGCAGAGTTGTGGATGGTACCCGGTCCAAGTTGTCGGTCCAGCGCGGCTGGCAAAATTTACACTCAGTTTTGACTCTTCTTATTGTGCTTAATTTCAACACTGGCTATTTATTATCTAGCTAGTAGGATTGTTACTATTTTAAAAGTCCTGGTTCAGTTAAGGCCATTTAGAAAGTTTCTTTTTCAAAGGAACTCCTTTGATAGATGCTTCTTTCCCCCAAGAACAACTTCGTTAGAAACATCTGTATTTTAGTCTAAGCGTGCTCAGGATTTTTTTGACACCGCTACTCACCCCCTACCCCATTGACATTACAAAGCGATTTTTCATACCAGTACCCTTTATTTAGTAAAATTTCACTAGCATTAAAATAGCAGTAATAAGGTTTCTTCCTGAGTAAAAATTCAGACAAATCGATTATTTCCATATTTTAAAACGTTAAGGAGATAATGGCTTGATTAGCTGGTAATAATCTGGGGTTTTACAAAAGAAGAAAAGTGTAACCTCTGCTTTGTACGGTGGGCAATGCAGAAGGGATTTTAGCTTGGATCTCTTTCTTCCTCTCTTTCACCATGTAACTTCTCATGCATTTTGTGGAATGCATTCAAACAAACAAGAGGACAATGTGGTTAAATGCAGGAGGCAGAAAGGAGGGGTATTTCAAGATATTTTCAAAGAAGAAAGATAATTTTTAACGTGGGAGACTTTTAGTTAAGAAGTGTGGGATGGTTGAAAATAGCACACTACTAAGAACATCTGTATGACTTTGAAATTCACTTCATCTAAAAGGAGACTCTGTTTCCTAGTGACTAAAGCAGGATTTGTTACTCAGATGCATGCTACCGGTGACATTGCTAGCTTAAATGTCAGTTTTTAAATCCACCGCTGCAGTCATTACACAGGAGACCAAGTTAGAGTTGGTTCAGGGTATCTCTCCTGATTACTGTGATGACTTCAAAGGATTGTGATTATCAACAACTTGTGGATGTTTTGTTAATACAACTGCAAAGGGTTTTCTAGGTAAGGATTGCCCGTTTTCCATCCTTGATTTCCCTGTCTGGTAGGAGCCACAGAAGCCAGGTGTCCTCACTTTCTCTTTTCTGTCTGTGTGGATGCCTTGTTTTCGGAGCTCAGCACTCCACACCCTGGTTGTGGATTAATTTACTCTCCCCCATTTGAGGTGAGGGGAAATAGGTGGGGCAGCCCCAGAGACAAACTAGAGATGGGGGTCACAGGCGCCGTGCACACCTCAGTCAACAGTCAGCTCCTCCTGCCAGGCTGGAAATGGTTTTAACAGGCGGTAAAATTTCATCTTGCGGTGTCAAATTGGGGTCATTTTGGGGTTAGAGTTCTCAGTGTCCGTGAGGAGCTGTCCAGCTGTGTGGGGACTCATTAACTGCAAAGATCTGTTTCAGTAAAAACAATTCAAAGACAGTCAGAAGGCTAAAGACTCTCTACAAATCGCATTTTACAAGTGCCCCCAGAACAAATATGGTTGGTAAAACCTATTTCTTCACAATCCCAAATCAGCTACTTAGCTCTGGAGTGGGGGGTGGGAACATTGAATTAAAAAGGAGGTGAAGGGGGGGCTGAAGGGGGTGAATGAGGAGAACTGGGCCTCTCAAATTTAAGAGTCTGTTTTTAATCACCCCTTTCTTATTGAAGCATCCCCCCTAGACTTCTGAAAAGCCCTCCTTTCTATTTCTCCTTTTCTTCTTTTGATCCCTTGTGGAATGTTACTATAGGTAACATTAAGGATTTAAAAGAATAATGTAAGCCCCCTAGTTCTGTAGTTCAATGGCATTGGCTTTCGGGAGGGGAGTTAATTTGAAGTAGCATTTATAAACTGGAACTTTATTTTAGCTGAACTTGTTCAGGCTTCTTGAGGTGGTATTTGTGGCTGTTCTTTTTATATGCCTCTTCCCCAATTTCCAGATTCTCTGCACAGATAACTCTGAATTCCTCAGAACTGTGAGGTCCTGAAGTGTTAATCTGTGCATTAAAATCACCAGATTTAAATCCCTTTTGTCTTCTTTACAACAGTTAGAACAATTGATGCTTTACTGCAAGAGCAAGTAAATCCAGCCTTAATCTTGTTTGTAACTTTAGTTAATGTTTTGATTTGGAATATTTTGTATTAAGGAGACTTTTATGGAAGAAAAAAACCTGAGATCATGTTTGATTTGGGGAGGTTCTGTTCCTCAGTTTGAAGAAAGGTGGCTTACTCCTTGTACCTAAGAAGGTTTTCATTGGGTCAAGGGAGAGTTCATGGTTAAAATAGGTTAAACATGTGAAATGCCAGGATTTTTTCTTTTAACAAAACAAAGTTGATATTTAAAAGTAAAGTGTCATTATGAAAGATATTTATTTCCTTGGATTACTGAACCTAGCTAGCAAAAAAAAAAAAAAAAATCCTCAAAACACACCATCCATTATCTCTTTCTCTTTCCATACTCCATGTCTGTTCCCAGGTTTTCTATTTCCATCCACACTACTTTCCTTTGGATTCTAAAGGAGGGTGAGTTTTTGAAGTCCTTCTCCTTTCTCTAGGCTTCCCAGGGTGTTTGTAAATTGTTCTTCAAAGATTCTGTGGCCCTGAAGAAACAGCCCTGAGCCTGTGTTTCTAATATCGTGCTTGCCCCCCATTCCACCCCTTGGAGCCACTTACTGCCTTTAAAACATCTTTTCTCCTTAAAACCTGCGCTCATCCTTGTGAGAAATTTTTGACCTTCCCAGCAGTATAACCGAAAAGTTAGACTAGAAAGGATGCTGCTCATTTTCTTACCTGTTACCTTGGTTCGTGTTCTTCCTAGACAGAGTCCACAGAGAGAAGGGACCCTTGTCCCCTGTGCCTACCACCACCTTATTGGTTTTTTGCTTTTGTTTTGTGTTTATTTATTTATTTTGCTTTTTACGCCTTGGTGTTTTATTATGGACTTTTCTCCCTGGAAATAGTATCATTAAAGAAATCTATAGTTTTAAAAAATAGGATGGAGTAGAATTGCTGCATTTTGCTTTTTCCCTGTCTAATTTCTTCCAATTTTAGCTGTTTCCCTGTGTCGCGGGAAGAACGACTTTCAATAAATAGCCCTCTAGCGCTATCTGGCGGGGCTCCAAATGCGCGGAGCACTATGGCGCTGTCAGTTTCTCCTTCCCGCGCCCTACTTCTTTCCTCTTCTTTTATCTCTTGTCTCTTCTGTTCTCTATACCCTATTTCCAGTTCCTTCTTTGCTCTTCTGTTCCCTTTCTAGTCTTTATTACAGTTTCCAGTGCAGACAGCGGACCCCCGCACCGGCCAGCACCTTAGCCCTTGCAACTAGATGGCAGTCCGTCCACCCGAATCTTTCAGGCTTCCCAGTCCTAATCCAGCATGGCTCACGCCCATCTTCTCCCTCTGATGAGCACCTTATCGGTGTTAAACGTGTTGACAAGTCTCACGGTCTCCGCGGGCGGTGTTTTGAAGGGGCTTAAAACTACAGTTGGGAACTTTGCTGGAAAGAAACACACTGGGATTCCCTGTTGGTACAGCCTGGCTAACTTTGAGGTCTGAAGGCCCGGACGCCCGTTGTGAGTGGAAAGAGGCTTCTATGGGACAGGGCAGAACGGCAGGGGACCAAACCTTTGCAAAAGGAATGTGACTTCGGTGGAACACGTGCTCTCAGAACGCCAGGATCTAGCTTTCCAAGGGACCGCCTCAGTCTGCAGTCTGCTCCCAAAGCGCCTGCCCATTTTCTCTTCCTCAGTTAACCAGAGTTGTTCCCAGCATCCCCACCAAACACATTCACAATCTGGAAAGAAGTGTCAAAAGTAGGGAAGAGCCCTAGAAACCCCACAGAGTAGAGCCAGACAACACATACCGCCGAGGGAGCCAGTGGTGCTAAACCGGAGTCGCACGCATCTTTCGCAACCCATAAACACTCCGCAGTATGAGCAGAGGTTAGAGAAGACTGAGACCAAGATATACGGTCAAACCTTCCAGGTGCCTCATCACAGGGCTGCTATATTCACTCATATTCTTTTATTTCTCTTCCTCTCCCCTTCTCCCTCTTCATACCTCTCCCCTGCCTCCCTTTCCTTCCCTTCTTTCTGTTTCCCTCATCCTCCCTCTCAACCCCCCCTTAACCCCCCCCCCCGCCTTCCTTCACACTCAGACAGAGAAACCTCCAATCTTTGCTTTAAGCAAATGTCTTCCACTTACTCCTCTAATCGGCGGGACATACGAGGCCGGAGGCGAGTTATGGATGCATTTCCTAAGAGCCATCTATTGTTTTGAAGTAGAAATGAGGCCACATACCCTATTATAACCAGAAGGTAGCCACTACAGGTGTTAGAAACTCTGTCCTCTGAGTGTTCTGAACCAAAGAGTCCCAAATCTGGGCTCTGCTTAAAATGGCAAAATAGAATGGAAAAGAGCCTGGCGAGGGGGGCAGTGAAGAATTCCTCCCACTCCCCACTGCTGAGGGAGGCAGGCGTAGTTTGGGTGTAATTAATTGAAGATTCTTATTAGGTCATCATTAGTCAATGTGCAAATAATTGCTGCCCATTTTTACTTAAAATTGACCAGTCTGAGTGTGATAGATC